TCCCCACTGCTGTCCACCAGACTCCTGGAGGGAATGGAGTGGGGAGACCCCCTCCCCACAAGCTGCAGGGGTGCCCAGGGCAATGGTCGGGAGGAGGGGGCCAAGGAGCGAGCATGTGCCTCATAACAAACAGCCCGGGGATTAAACAAGCTGCAGTCTCCACTTCTATGGTGATCAGCAGACTGTTAGCAAACCCACAGAAATCACTGGCACAAGATGGAAAGCAGAGCAGGAAGCCACCAGCAAGCAGACTGCAAAGCTCGGAAGAGGCCAGGTGCTGGGAGCAGCGGAAGCCAAGCCAAGCCGTGTCCAGGTCTGGAGGAGACTGCGCTAAGCTGTGGAGGTTCCAAGGCCGAGCAGCGTCAGACGAAGCCAGAACAAAGGGATGCTCAGAGCTGGGCCACAGAGCTGCTACAAAACACAGAGCGCCTGGCGCTGCTCCAAGAGAACGAAACAACAGTCGCCAGCGGAGCGCACAGCCTCGCTGCAGCAACTGCTGAGCCAACATTCTGAGCGGGTGCCAGACCCCCCTCGCCACCCCCGCCCACCCCACGGATCATGCGCTGCCCGAGGGAGGAGATCGTCAAGGTCGTCAAAACTTCAAGACCAAACGGTGAAGAGGCCTGGAGTCCGGCAGATGGCATGAGGCACCTGGGTCAGCCTCTCCGTCAGAGGCAAGGAAGGGGAGGATCAGGGTCGGGAGCCCACGTCCTTGATGGCCACCCCCCTCCCCCAGCCATGCCCCTTCCTCCAACCGTCAAGTGCTCTCCCGAGTTTTGAGGAGCTGTCCCCCGTTCCAGAAGGCTGGAATGCCTGCTCCAAGGCTTTGTTGCTGGAAGCATGAAGATGCTGGGGTATTCTGGTCATACCTCCCTTACTTTCTGCCCTGCCCTGCCCTGCCCACCAGCTGGATTGCAGCCCCCAAAGGCCCTCGGGCTGAAAGAGGGGCAACACCCTCTTAAAATGGAAGGATAAACCACTCCAGAGCAAGAAAGACGTGCGGGATGTTTCACTCCCCCTTCGGGAATTTCTCTTGGAGATGGCTGCAGTGTGGCCTTTGCATCACTTGAATCATGGCGTTGCTACAGCAAGGGAAAGGGGTGGGGGTGAATCAGCCGCGTGGGCCACAGAGGAGAAAGACCTGGCTGCCCCGCGGTCCTTTGCCATCCGGTCTCTGTGCTGGGAAATCAGAGTGTGGCAAGGACGGCATGAAACACGGCGAAGAGGGTGCCATCCCAGGCACTGAAGCCCAACAGCACCTGCTGCTTGGAAGTTTGCCTGGGACGTGCAGTGAGTTGTAGGACGTTTAATCTGTTGGCGCATGACTGGGATTGCACCTTGCAGGGGGAGTGATCGTAGGGCCAGCTGCACTCCGACCTCGAAACCGTTGGCCTCCTCCCGCACTCTTTCTCAGCCAGCACAGAAAACTGCCCGGGCTGCTCTGCGACCTCGGAGAGGGGCTGAAGGGGGCAAGGAAGAGAGACACCAGGGGGCAAGGTATCCCGAACTGCTCCGGCGCGCCTCCCCTCAGAGGAGCTCAAGCTAGATGGTCAAAAAGTCAGTCCATCTAGCCACAAATGCAGGGGGGGAGGGGGGCAGGCAAGTTGGCCCCCGTCCTCCTGCTGCTCTGCATCGGGTGCCCTTAAACCTGTGAGTCCGGGGCTTCGTGACTATTCTCACAGGGCTGCACCCTGAGAGTTGCTGGGTGGCCAGCAGCAGCCCCCACGAGGGGAACTGGGCGCAGCTACTGCCTCCTCGCTCGTAACTGCCGGCTCAGCATCCTCTAGCCGCTTTGGACTACAACTCCCACAATACCGGCAATCGTGGCCAGTAAGCAAGGAGGCGTGACAGAAACCCTGGCCCTGGAGGTTGTCAGCTGGCCTGCCTCTGCCCTGGAGGGGAGCCTTGCCGGTCCCGTGCGTTGCGCTGCGACCCCGAGAACGCCCCACACGTGGAGCTGGCGGCTCAGACACCTCCAGGCCGCCAGCTGGGGAGAGCTGTGCCGTGCCCCCGGCCTGCACCTTCCCTCCGTTCCGAGCACCACTGTCCAGCGCAGGGCTGAGACAGCCCAGGAACTGCAGTGGCCGCAGCCCAGAACAGAAAAGCACAAGGTGCTCCCACCACTCCACACTCACCAGGCAGACCGCAGCCTGTTTAAATCTGTGGATCAACTGAACAGCAAGGTCCAGCCATGAGAAAGCACCACAGCGAGTTCAAAAAACAGCCGGCCACTTTCCCTGGCCTACGTAGCACCCATGAGAAGTGCCGGACCTCCCTTGCCATCCCCTTCAGCAGCACGGCTGACGGAGTGGCGCTCTGGGTGCTCCAGCAGACCCTAACCCTCCCCCATCCCACATTAATCATGTGCCAGTGTGCAGGAGAATGCAAAATATGCCACCGCGGGAACGCAGCCCAAGCACTTCTCCAAAGCCGGATTTGGCCCATGAGCTGAAAGAAGTCCAGCATTCTGATGTACAGGTACGCAAGCTTTCAAATTACACAGGATTCTCTTAAGCTTTGCATGAAACAACTTGCAGAAGATGCCAGCCAGAGGCGTCCATCTCAATGCAAAGCCAAGTGCCATCTTCGGGCACTGCTTGTGTTTGGCTTCCAAAGAGCGGCCTGGCCTGGCCTGGCGCTCCAATCTCAACCCCACCTTAAATGCAGATGCTTGGGTGACTTCTCTTTCGGCCCGTCTAATTTGCTTTTGGGACAGAAACACTTTCTGGCTAGTCATGCATGGCCCCGCAGCTGTTTTATGCGTGAGCAAGCCTCCCTGCACTTGCTGCCATTTTGCGGGAGTGCCCACAACACTCTTCCAAAACTTCACCAATCCTCAAAGTAGGAGGACTCCTGATTATAGTCCATGCCTGTACATTTTGACTTTAAAAATTTCCATGCGGTTTTTTCTGAAAGGTAAAAAGGCATTCAGTAAATAACATGTTTCAAACTGAAACTGTTTTGAATTTTTTTAAAAAGCGGTACTGGGGCTCACAGCTGCTTGGCAGCCCTAACCTATAAGCCTCATTTCTTCAGGAACCCGGAGCTGCTGGGAGCGACTCAGGCGCAAGGGGAAGCCACATGGCATGCTCAGAACAGCATTCATTGTCACACGCACCCGGGCTGAGTCAGGGCAGCACATGACAATACTTAAAACTTGAAACTCACCTTTGGGCACAGACTCCCCGACCCACTTTCTCCTTCTTGGGGGCTTGACCAGCTCCCCACCGTCTCTTGCCCCCTTCCAAAAGGGATGCTTTGGGGTCTGCCCCCTACTCCCTTGGCAGTTGCTTCTTCTGCCAAACGGGACAGATGGTACCCTCTGGGTCACTTAAGGACTGGGCTGGGGATGAAATGGGTGCGCCATGACTGCAGTTCCCAGCAGCCTGCCTTTGGTTTGCTGGGAAGGGAGCTGCCCTCCAGAGTGGAGCCAACGTGCAGGCAGAGGTGGTTAACCCCTCCCCATCCCCACTATCTCTTAACTCAAATATCCTGCAAAGCCAAGAAGAATCAGGAACCACATGGCTCCTCCCATCTCCCCTTCAAAAATAGGTAACAAGGCCACCAAGCGCATTTTAGCTTAAGCATCCTCACCTCTGGCAACAAAACCTTAACAGAGGCATTTCAGCATTTCCAAATTGGGGGGGGGGGCAGGATTTAACCCTCGGGCCTGTGGTTCCACATGGCTGCCTCCAAGCCTGGGAGAAACCAGAAGCCAGACTTTCACCAAGGCCAAACACACCTGTTGGTTCCATGCACCACTTGTCCTAGCTGATCATCTGCCACACACCGAATTGCATACCCGTGGTCACGTTCTGTACATGCCCAGGAGTACACAAGACCCAGCAGTGGAACCGCGTTGCTGTGGCCCTGGGAGGCTCCGCAAAGGGTTGGGGGCTGCCCCAGGCAGGCTGCTTCAGCGCTGCAGCCGCAAAAGTTGCCTGAGAGAGCGAAGTCCGCAAGAACTGGGACTCTTCCTTGTTCTTTAGCACAGAGCGCGCTTGGCGCCTGGCGCACTGGAGCGCATGCACAGCATCCTGGGTGACTGAACCCACTAGAAGTGGCACAGCAGAGAAAGTGGGGGGAAGAGAAAAGAAGGAAACAGCAGGGGGCGGTGTACAGAAGCGGCCGGTTCACTTTTCCGAGTCACCCTCAACACACCCAGACCGCTGTGCTCACTCGGTTGGCTTTCTGTGCATTTTTGTCCCCCCTCCACTCAACAACGGGGTACCCCCTTGCAAGCATCGGGGTCCCCTGTGCGTGGGCTCTCAGTGGCCCTGCTCAGGCTCGGCTCTCGCCAGCACCCACGCCCAGGTTTGCTCTTGGAGGGTTTACACACGGGCAGCAGGAATGCGCCAAAGGCTCCGTCAACCCACTGCAAGCTGGGAACAAAGGCGCTTATGGGTCCACACTTCCGGAGAGCAGCAGCTTGGGAAAGGCTGGCAGGCTGCAGCATTCAGGGAGCCAGGCCCACTTGGGCACTGCTGGGCTTCCCTCCCCCCTTGAAAGGTGAAGGTGCTGTGCACTCGTTCGATGAACTTGTTTGTTCAGAGGCAAACGAGAATGAAAAGCAGAGACTTTAATTCCAAATTTGTCCCTCAAACGAAGGGAACGAAGACGCACTCATGAATTTAGCCACAGGAGCAAAATTATACAACAGGCATCAGGAGCCTCAAGCCAGGGGCCAAATCCTGCCCAGCTGGCCATGCCCCCTGACCCTGAAACCCAATCATCCCGTGGTTTCCCGACTTCTGTGCCATTTCCCACTCCCCGTCCTAAAATGGCAAACCTCTCCTAAGGTGCCGCTACTAACAGCAAGAGCTTAAGTCTGTCCGTACGAGTAGTATTTTGCCCCTGCCGGTTTTGTCCTCGGCACCATCCGGCACTGGAGTGTGGTTTCCAGGAGTTCCCCCAAATCGGAATCCGGCCCTTCGACTGAAAGAGGCTCGCCGTCCCCGCGGCACATGCAAAAGAAGGCACCTGTACACACAGCCATGGCACACAGTTTGAGTTGCACATGCCTCCTCCCCAGCATGCACCTGCTTTATTTACATATCGACAAAGACCATGAAGCACCAACCCAGCCCCCCCACCAGCAGCATGGTGACGTGAATGCCATAGATGAGCAGTTCGTTCACGAGGCTGAAATCCACCCGCCTTCGTCCCAGCAAGAGCAGGATAATAGAGAGTTTGTACTGGAAACGCAGAAAGACCCGGATGCTGAGGTATTGGAGGCAAAACAAGAGGGACAGCGCCACCCACAGGATGGAGGTAAACAGGCTGCAACTGAAATACAGCAAGAAACGAATGAAGCCATACATCCAACGGGACTTCAGGTAGATGTCAAAGTTGTTGTACTTGGTGCGCACCAAGTGTGTGGTCCTTACTGGCCCGCAGGCTGAGTGCAGGCAGGTCGTGTGGGGGCCGTGGAAAGAACGGACCCGCCGCGGGATTGGGATGACAGGCATCAGGCAGCCCCCGCCTTTCACAGCGTTGGAGAGCTGGGGTTGCCGGGGGTGGGCCACACAACATCCGCGAAGACGGGGGAGAAGGCGAGTGACCCAGAAACGCGACCACAGGGCTTGCTTGCCGGGACGGACATTGCCTGCAGGAAGGAATAGAAGGAGAGCCAGTTTGAGAAGAGAAAAGCCCAGCCCCAGGCGGGGTCAGGGCTCCTTCAGCCCAAGGGCCGAATGCAGTCAGAGGCCACAATCCAGTGACAGACGGAGCTGAAGGCGAAAGAGGCCAGGCAAAAGCGCCCCTGGCGGTCCAGCTGCTTCCACTCCATACCCGCACGTAACCCCTCTGCCGAAGGCTCTGCAACCAGGCCAGGTTTCAGGTTTTGGCACAAACCCAGAAAGCCCCGAGCAAGTCGGGACCAGATTCCCTCAGGACATGCCTTCCCCTTATCGTCCAGCCTGATTGCCACCGTCATCCGAAAAGGCACTATGGATGGTTCGGAAAGCACCAGCAGCAGGGCCTTCAGCGTGGTGGCTCTCATCTCACCGAATCCCTTCCAGCTGGGATGAGCCGTGTGTCTGCAAGAGCTGCACTGCTGCTTGCTGTTGTTTTGGTTATAACTCCTTTTATTATGTTTTAAACATACAGTTTGATGCAATGCTTGCTTGCTTGCTTGAATTTGTTCCTTGCCTTTCTACCTAAACTGGCACAGCTTACAATTGCGAATAAAACTTGACAGAAACAGTAAGCAAATTCATTTAAAAAAACAATTTAAAACACAACAGTCACAAAGCAACCCCAACATCCAGCCCAAGAGGCCCACTTACACACTAAAGTTCCGCTTGAATAAAGTGGTCTGGGCCTGGCCAGCAGGAGGGCTACGGAAAGGGGGCATCCCTCAGCAAAGAGCTCCAGAGCCAGGAAACAGTGGCCAAGCAGGCCCTCTTATGTCACCAATAAACGCGCCTCTGTCCTTGAAAGAAGAGCTCATACAGGAGAAGGCAATCTTTTAGCATCTGATTGCAAATTGTGAGTTTAAAGCTTTGCCTTGTACACTAACCAGAGGGTTTTGGCTAATGCATGGTGCAGGTAACTAATAAAGGGGGAAAATGCATTTGCACAGGCTATTTTGGTTTCAAGACAGCCTTTCTAGGGTACACCAAAGGGCAGTCTCACTCAGCAATCTGGCGTGTGGAGAAATCACCATTTTTGGTGGATTTTGGCTGCTGAACTGGCCTGTCAACTCTCTCAAAGATGTCCTGATTGCCAAGGCTCGGATTTGGTCCAGCCCTGCTACAGGATGAAGATGGCACAGAGCTTGTGTTAAAAGCTGACTGGCTCTTAGTCCCAGAGCAGTAGCTGGGCTGATGCCAAAGAATGTTCAGAAATACTCTGGCCCAAAGGCAGCTATTCTGAACCTGGAGACTGGCAGATGTTTTGGACCACAACTCCCATAATCTCTAACCATTGACCATGTCGGCTGGGACCATACCCTCTGCACTGTTTCCTAGTGGAATTGTTGGGAATCCAGCTGTGGCAGTGGGGGGATGGGGTGCATCATATATAGACTGCTAAGCCAAGGTTGCCTACCCCACTGAAAGCCATCCACAAAGCAGTGTCTCCTAAAACAGTTCCTTGACTGAATCAGGTGAACCTCTGCATTGTATTAAAATGGCTGAAATGGCATCTTTTGCTTTAAAAGCACAGCAGGTCCTTTCTTCCAGACTTCACAGCTCCTCTGAAAGTGGCTGATTTTACACAACAGTTTCTACAGCTACACAGGACTTTCTTTCCATAAGGCAGTCCCTACATGTCAAGTGCAACGCTGAATACAGACAGCAGACTCCTAAAATCTCAGCTCACAGCACACGCGTGAAGATCAAGATGTGAATCTGGGAAAGTAAATGACATCACACTTAATGATTGCCCACAAAATGATTGTTAGCATTCCTCTGCTACAACATGTAGAACAACTCTAAGCATTCAAGGTACCAACTCCAGAAAAGGACCCTGCACATTCTCTACACAAGTCACCTCCAGGAAACAAAGGCAATTCCTTCAACTGGTACAAATCTAAATATTTTTCCAGAGAGACAGGCTATGATAGTGCATTAGAGAAAAAATAAGAAAAAGTTTCATGACACCTTAATGCAAACATGACCAACTTTGCATTAGCCAGATGTGCTGGACTGCAAAACTCCCCATAATTCCCAGCCAGCCAAGACATTCATTTTGGGCTCTATCCTCCCATTGGACGGAACAACATTTCATGCACTGGATAAACGGAACACTGCCTGCAAAATATTCATGCCTGAGTAAATTTATTCATATTTATAGTGCCACAACACCCTTTGTTGCACCTAAATATGGGTGGGATAGTGAAGCTCATCTATTGTGGACTGCTTTTTGCAATTGAGGTGACACTGCCGATGTACTACAACAAAGTAATACTAATAACAACTAAAATGATAAAATTGGACTGCAGCAGATACAGCATGAAAGAATGAGAGATGGCAAGACAGGAGAGAGGCAGGCACAATCCAGCTGTTAAATGTGGCCTACCATGCAGGGCTGTTGTGAAGATTAATATTAGAGAATGGGAAGAGACAAGCTTGCTGGGAATAATAGCCTGGAATTTTTGTGCATATGACCTTTCAAGATGACTTTGTTGTGTGGTGGGTGAGCTGTGAAGCTCACAGCTTATTCAGGTAGTTCACAACATAGCCATAACCTAAGTGGTAAATGCCAAATACTGTAAGTGGCAGTGTTCTCTACTCTGTTTGAGAAATAACATCAGAGAGAAACAGTGGGACATGCAAGAGGTGGGCGAAACCCCACTGCTCAGCGTTGCAGTGAGGATTAAGATTTGAGGGTGGGAGGAAGAAGAGTGGCCAGCTTGGGAGCTACAGTCCAACACTTGCGTGCACCAGTTGCTTTGAGGTGGCTGTTTGCCCTGGAAAGTAACTTATGCCACAACAATTTTTGTTGTGAGGCTTGATATGGGGACCAGGACAGGCTGAGACAAGGGCAGCCAGCATGGCCGGGGGATACTGGACCCTGTTTGCAACACGCCTGTGCAAACTGCTTTGAGGCTGAATTCGCCCTGGCAAATCATGCATAAATGTGTAAAGAATGCCACAACACAACAATAATGTATTGCTGGGGTTCTGGCTACAACTTTCTCCCTTCTTTCAGAAGGCAGCACAAAAGGTGGCGCTGGAAAAAGGGAGGCGGGCCAGATCACCAGCTCTGCCAATCGACCTTGCAGGGCTGTTGAGAGGATTTTAACAAGAGGGCAGCGAAGGGTAGCCAAGCGGGTGCTGAGAGCTATGATACCTCCCCTTGCGGGGCGGCATGTCGGACCTGCTCCTCCTCCTCCTCGTCAGGCTCTGGTCTGCCACCCCGACCCCACCTATCCACCCACCCGCCCGCCCGGCAAGGGAGGCCAAGTGGGGCAGAGGCCTTTGGTCCTGCCCGCCCTGGGGTCGGCGGACTCACCAGGCGACTGCAGACGGGGACGGCCATGGCGGAGGAAGGGAGCAGATGCGGGCGGCGGGGGTCTGTCTCGTCCGGGCCCGGGACGGGGCGAGCAGGAGCCGCAGCTCGCCCTACCTGCGATGCTGGGGAAGGAGCGGCGCGCTGCTGGCGTCATCACCAAGCGCCGCCGCCGCCTCCGCGCTTGGGCGGAAGAGCGGGCGGGAAGCGGTTGCCCGGCAACGGGACGCGGGCCCGGGCGCTGCCTGGACGGCCGGCGGGGCCGTTCGCGGGGAGGAGGAAGCAGCGTCCGTCGCCACCCGCATCGGAGACGTCGGGGCTGCCATGATTTTGCTTAACCGAAAAGAGCAGGGACTACCAGAATTAATATAATTAAAGGAGCGGGGGCTCCCTTGTTAAATGGGTGGGAGCTACGAATTGCATTATTTTTCCTCCAAATGTTGTGGCCTACAATTAGTATTTGTTATTAGAAAAATCTGTGGCTTATTATTAGTTTTTAAAATGCAGAGCACTTTTTAAATTAATGAAACATACGAATCTTTGGACATATGGACCCAAACATTTTATTTTTGAAATTAAAATAAATAAAATAAAAATAAAATAAAATAAATAAAATAAAAAATAAAAATATTTTTGAAATGAAGAAATGAACAAGCAAAACTGGCCCCTTGCTTTGCTTCCAGAAACTGGTTGGCACCATAGGTTTGGCTGACTGGGGATCATGGGATTAGCAGTACCCACTTATTCAGAGAGTGCAAACTTGGGGAAGAGTGCTGTATAACAATGGTGAAAAAGAGACTAGTATGAGCCCTTTTCCCCTTCCCTGTCATGCCCTGTTTATCCTGTCCTCATGTTTTTATTTGTTTTAATGTGTCTGATTACTATTATTATTATTAAAGTTTTCCTTTGTCATTGTAAGCCATCCTGAGTGCTATTTTTCTTGGTTTTATGTAGGGTATAAATAAAGTAATCCATAATAACCAATAAATATTAACAGTGGTACCGCATTCTTCTCTCTTGCATTTTCCCACATATAGCTTCACCACTTCCACCGTGCAAGAGGAATTACTACAGCCCTGCTGTGATGCTGGGGAAGGAGTGGGTGGATGCTTTGCTGGGCCTGCAGCTAACTTGGGAGCAATAGCTTTCTCCTCCCCCTGTGTCTGGAAAACTGGAATTTTGAAATGTGCAAGATGAAGCCTCTTAGCACCACCTAGTGAGGTTTGCTTCCAAAGTGACTTTTTCCTGTTTGTCTTGCTGCCCTTAACATCCTATCTGCAAACTCTGCAGAGATGCAAACTGAGTGGATAGTTGTCAGACTACAGTTCCCATCTTTTCTCACCCTGGATATGCTGGCCAGGGTTGGAGGGAGTTGAGTCTATCAGTTGCCAGAGGGCCACACATTTCCTGCCTGGTTTTAATGCACAAGGAGGAGCCTTATAGACGCTTTGCAGCTGAACGGATGGCTCCACTCCTGGGTGGTTTGCAGCACTGGCGGAATAGCAGGGCTAACTGAGCTCCAGGCAGGGCTGCCCTTGCTGGTCCAGAGTGCCCAGAAACGGGACATCCTCTTCCACTGCTTACAAGCTCTTGTCTTGTAAGCAGAAAAGATCTGCCCTGGCTGAAGAAAGATTGTGGACTGTGCAGAAATGGACAGATTGACTCTATTACTGAAGGAGAAAGAAGATACTGACTTCTTTCAAACTTGGGACCTTTTTTATGATTGGCTGGAGAAACGGGACTTGGCTTAGAAACATAGAAACATAGAAAACAGAGCGAGTCAGAAGGGGTCTCCCGGGCCATCTAGTCTGACCTCCGGCACCAGCCGGCACCGCTCACGACATGCCCACCATGTGGACGTCCAGCCTATCCTTGAACACCCGCACCGATGGGGCCTCAACCACCTCCCGTGGAAGCCCATTCCACACCCTTGGCGTCCTTTAGATTTAAAGATATTTTTTAAATTTTTATAAATTGATTTGAATATGATTATAGAATGTTAAAAAGATATGTTATGGGGGCTGACCCAGTACGTCTGATGCATTTGATGATTGATGTTTTTTAGTTTTTAGTTTAAAATCTTAATAAAAATCTTCATAAAAAAAAGATCTGCCCTGACTGCCTCTTCACTGCCAAGCCACATTCAAGGGGGTGTTTAGGGCTTTCTGGGGCAACGACGTAGGGCAAGAGGCTCTATGCCCATGAGGCTGGAGTGTAGGACTGCAGCTCAGGAGACCTGGGTTCTCCAAGGCGGTGTTAAGGAGCAGCTTTCTGGAGCAGACGCCCCAAATCTTTCACCTTGTGCTGAAAACTTGCTGAGAACACCTGCTGAAATCCAGGTCCTGAGCCTTGATCATCTGAGCTGCATCCAGTTCCCCTGGACCAGCTGGATCTGGCCACATGCTTTTCACCTCCTGCTGCCCCACTTGAATCTTTTTGCCCCGGATTGTTCCCCACTCTGAAACCAACTGCCCTCCTTTCCTGCCCACATATCCTTTTCCACAAAGGCACACAAAATATGCAACACATACAGACACTAAACAGCATTTGGAAACAGAAATGCAGAAATTTGCATATCCCCATCTGATTTTGTCCTGTGGCCTTCAGCCAGGTCCACCCCACAAGCTGTTCCCCCTTCAGCCATGATGCAGCTCGCTGGGTGACCTTGGGCCAGTCATGGACACTCGGCCTAACCTGCCTCACAGACCTGTTGTGAGGATAAAGTGGGGAGGGGGATTATGTAAGCTGCTGTAGGTTTCTTGCAGGAGGAACAAAGGCAAAAATTAATTTCCAAAGACACTTCAAATACAGACATTGAAGTGGCAATCCACTGACTGGCCAGCAGGGGAGGCTGGTGACGTCTGGGCCAGCTGGGCTCCTGGTCCATTGCAGCTTTTATTCTGAGAAGCAATCTCCCTGGTGCTGGATTCCCTCACCGATTCAGGGCTTTAAAGCTCAGAGTAGACGCGGCACTGGAGGAGATGCACCAGTGGAGAGTCACCAGCCACTCATGTCAGACTGAATGAGACGGGGCAGCTGCAGTTTCCACGCCTCACTGAAGCACATTTGCTCATCCAAAACAAGCGTTTGAGAACTTTCCTCAAATACGGGATGGATGCCAGCATGAGAGTTAGCCCACCGAGGGATTCGCTGCCCGTTTGTTCAGCATTAATAAAACCAGCTCCACTATTCAGCCAAGTGGTGGTTTGAAAGTGCTTTTGGATATTAGCAGAACTTCTTCAAGCCATGGACAAAAAACAATTTCATAATGAAATCACACGAACTATGATCTCTGGGCAACCATTGTTTTACGGGAGTTAGTCAATGCAGGATTTATTTATGCGTGCATGCTATAAATTCTGCCATGGTGTGATGCGGGTAGCAGCATTCTGAGTTGTCCTTTGGGTCTCGCCGGTGCTTGTGCTCATTTCACTAATGACACAACTCATATTCCTGTTGATTGAGCCACGTTTTGTGTTGACGCAGGGGGAGATTTGTAGCAAAACTGATCACCGCAACAAGCGTGACCCATTAGGATAAATCAAGTTGCTGGCAAGAGATGGGGTGCTGGATGGTCTTTCGGAAAGACAAATGCACACATTTATTTGTCATAGAAACAGTAACTTTTACTTCTTTCAAAACTTTTAATGAATTGCTCACATTCCAGGAGATTTATAGCATGGGCAGAAGACTTCCAAAAATTATTTTCAATGTATTTGACACTTGGGCAAAAGAATAACATGGGGTGCAGGGGACAGCCTGTGGGAGATATTGCACCTGAAATAAATTAAAAATACATGCATCTGAAAAGAGTTTAGTTTGGTCATTAATTGTTGATCTGGAGGGGGGGGGATTTTGCACAAAATTTCAAGTTAAATTATGCAAAATCAAAGAAACAACCTTATAACAATTAATCAAACCTGCGTAAAACTGTCGGCTTCAAATAAATTCTCCCAATTAGATCGCTTTAGATTCTGATTGCATTTACTAATTTAATCAGCGGGAGAATAACTTGAATCCCCCAGCATGATAAATTGCTACAAGGTTCTGTGCTAAGGTACAAGACTGGAGTATGACGGGAAACAACGCTAGAAAAAAACTTCTCGCTGCCCATCAGACTTGGTGAGGCTGGACGGTGCTGGCCAGAAACATCCAGTCCTTTCCAAAAGAAGGTGCTCAGATGCTTGTATGCATGCACACAAATGTGATACCACTTAAAGCCGGTGTGGGTACAGGAGAAGTCTCAGCTCTTTAGGGCTCCAGCTCCCAGCATTCCTGACTGTTGGCTGCAATGGGACATGAGCGCCCTCTCTAAGTACCTCCAAGGCTGTTATAAAGAGGAAGGTCTAGATCTCTTCTTGCTGATGCCAGAGCGCAGGACACGGAATGATCAAGGTGCAATAAACCAGATTCAGGCTATGATTACATTACTATTACTAATATCATTGCTAATACTGTTATTACTTTTAATAACATTATTACAAATAATGCTATTATGTGGACGGTTGCTGCAAAATTTACCATCCTTGCTCTTTTCCCCACAACCATTATCTGATGGAACTCACCCCCTGGCTTTTCTATGGGGCAGGGTGGTGGGACAGAGGTGTAAGCACCCACCCCATGGGGCTGATTGCAGCTTTTGGGAAGGCAGGTTTGATGGAGGAACTGGTGCAGGCACTGCATCCAGTCGTGCCTGAGCCCTCTGCATGCCTGGTTTAAAGCTGCGCTTTCCAAAACGACACGCTGCTCCCCAGATCACCTGCGCAGCATCCCAGCCAGATTCAGCTCCAGCCCAGGGGCAGGCAAGCACAGCGCAAGCATGTGTCTTCCACGAGCAGGGCCTGAAGCCTCCGCAGCTCCCTGGGAAGGGGGTCCTGGGGTCATCTTCAAAAGTTCACTGTAAATGTCAGTGCAACAATCAGGAGCAGAGGGTGGAGAAGCAACATCAATCATGTACATGACTGAACTGAGGGAAGAGGCTGAACTGAGAACGGAAGAGCAGGACGCCTTTCCAGGAACCCAGAGAGTGGCCTGGGTGGAGTGGGGAGGGGGGGAACGCTCTGGGCTGCCCCGTGTCCAAAACTAGGGAGTGCAGAATTAGGGAATCTGCAGA